ATCTCCAGGTTAAGCAGAAACAGGAACAGCACTGTAGTAAGTTATCCAGATCTCCTAAAACAGAGAAACATGCTGCAGCTCTGTAGAAAATTGTTAGTCCCAGCTGAAAACAGAGGCATCTGTCATCCAAACAACAGAGTTGAAGACAGCTAACTACCTCCAGCTCTTGTTCCACACTGGCCTTGGAGACAGGAGAGTTTAGCTACAGTTCCCACAAGGAGCAGTGCATGCTCTGACCTTTGGATGTGTCAAAGAAAGATGCATGCTCAGCTGTGTTGGACACGGTCTGACTGCTGCAAGGAACACCACAGGTTCCAAGTTTTATTAATGAGGAAAACAATATGTACTGTCAACGTTTGCTACATGAAGTTAGCATGAAAACAAAGCCCACTCCAGAGAACAAATGAAATTTACAGGATTAGTTTCTTGTTCCAGCTCTCCTGATAAATAGCACTGAACTCAACACCACATTGATTAGTTGGTTCAAGACAAACACTGATCAGATTGCCTTGGCAAGTATATATAGCACTACAAAAGCACAATCATCCTTGTCTATTCAGAGTAGCAAGGATTCACCATACTTTTATTTCCCTTCCCCCTATCTTTCCCAGCCTAGACAGATTGCACTGTTTCAAAGCCCTACATTAAATGCTTTTCCTAAGACTCAAAGCCCTTGTTCTAATGAAACAGAACCAAATGGTGCAAATGCTGCAGAGCCTCAGAAGGCCCCTGTGTTTCAGTGCAAGCTGACCTAGGTCATGGTTCTCTCCTCAACATTCAGTAGGGTGTTTCCTTTATCTTATCCACTACCTCAGATAGGCACCCGAGCACAACAGTCAGCTCTGGGTGAGAAACTGCCTTGGAGAACCACTCTGCAATAAACAGTCTCTCACGTCAAAGAAAAAGTGGGTGAAGATGGGGGATTCTGGTAAGAGTCAAGCTAAAAACCACAGTACTTGGTCCTTGCTATGTGTTTGTCTTCTTTGCTTCTGATCGTCTCAAAAGATATCAGAGAGAAAGGATGTTACACCACTTCACTCTGTGCTTTTACACAAAACAAACTTTTAGCAACATGGTTCAGAAGTTTGTCTTCTTTAGACTTTTTCCTTTTTCTTTCTAAATGATGTATTTTTGCAGAGCTACGAATTCTGCAAGATCTTCAAAAAATTCTATTTTCAGTGATCCTGAGGTCTCTTTACCTCCTTGAATCCATCTTTTGTTTGAATTGAATTATTGTTACCATAAGAAAAATATGCTCTCATAACTCATTCTTCACCCAATTACTCAGCTTTGTTTTCCTTCCTTCTGCTGTATTACAAAGCAATCACCATCAAAACCTAATAGAACAGTGTATGATATACAGAAAAATGCTGGTGGTTTTCTTTGCTTTTTATTTTTTATTTTTTAAATCTGATCAATAGCATTACAAAACTCTTTCTTGCTCTGTCAGGAAACAACTTTTATGACAGACCACTGTGGTGGTCTACCAGAACTGCCACTTCACAGAGCAGCAGGAAGTCACCTCAGAGCTGTGTGTCTGCCCTTAATACCACACTGACCACATCCTCCTAACACTGGCATGTATCTAAAATGTTCACAGACAACAGCTAACACCACTATCTGTACAACATACAACATTTACCTTTAGCCTGAATTTAATTTGTTGTCCTTTCTGAGAAAATGTTACACTTGCAAAGTTCATCTTTCAGTCACACACTTTATCTTGTTTTCTTTCAGAAAATGGTGAAGTGTTGCTTACACATCAGGTTTTTTGGTAGGTGTGTTAAAGGACTAAAAAGTATAATTTTAGTTATGTATTGCAGCAGATGAGAAGAACGCTGGTTTCTTGTTTAAACACAAGCTATGACTCATCCTGAGCAGAGATAAACTGAAACACATACCCATTAGATAAAATTTTTCAGTGTGAGGATTAATGACAGATAATAAGTATAAATTAACTTTAATCTTTTACAACAAATGAAGTCCCTTATATAAATGTCACTGCAATCTTTTCAAATAAAAAAAACCCAAATCAAAGCCAGAAGCGGAGTCATTTAAATATTACAGCTAATTTTTGGTACCAAATCAAACAGCTCCTTAGCAGAACCAGTGGAGTTTATGGAGCAAAATATTTTAAAGCAGTAGACCTTAAAAATTGTTTTAATATTTTAAAATATATTTTTAGGGAGTTTTCTACATTAAAGGGGTATATATTAAAACATCATTGGCTTTGCAATACTTAGTCCAAGTTAAATCACATATTCAAAAAGAAAAATAGCATTTTACTAATACTCTCTTGCTAATGCTTGAAACAAACCCTCTGCAATTGTTGAATGGGTTAAACCAAAATTTAACTGAACATAAGAAGACTGCTGTTCACAGACAAGAAGGGAAAAAACCAGAGTCAGAGACCTAATAGTGGACAATTTTGAAAATTATAGTGTGTGTCAATAATAGAGATAACAGTGAGATTCAGAAGGAATAATCTCAAATAATAGGGGAAATGAGCACCTGTCAGCCACAAAGCCATTAGTATCAGGGCTTTTATATTTGCAACAGTTAAGTCTGGAGACACAGACAAACTTAACAACACAGCAAATAAAACATGGAGCTGGAGAACACAGGAAGCAATCCCCCTCACTCAGAAAACACTGCTGTAGAGTTTGAAAATAAATGCTTCCAGTATGAAACTCACTGCCCAAATCACTGGTAATGAACACTGCAAACACAGCAAAGGCACGACACAGTGTCTAGCTGGGTTTGCAGATGTGGGTAGCTGATCAAGCTATAGCATCTTAATCAAGGGAGAGACAATCCCAAACTAGGAACATCAGATTCCTGATCGAAGTTCCCAGATATTGGAGTTTGCCTGTACAGAACAACCAATGTGATCATATGTGTGCCCTTCCCAGAAGGATGAAAACCAAAGGCTTGTAAAACCATGTCTGAGACAGACCTGGAATACAGTGCCCCGGAATGGGAAGCCCTGGAGGAAAGACCTTGCTGAGAAGGCTGATGGTTAGGAATCTTCAGCCTGGAGCAGGAGGGGACTAAGGAGAATAACAGACAAAAGGAGAGGAAGAGAGAGATATTATACCAGCGGAGAATGGAAGGACAAATTCTGCAGCAAACACCTTGTCAATATTCAGGAACAGGTGACATAAGAGGAAGCTCATGCAATAACACTCCTGTCATGAGTAACACTTCTTGACATGCTAGTATGGTATCCCCACCTCAGATAATATTACTGTCCTCAGCTAAAGACAGGGAATCAAGGCAGAAACTTCCTCAACTCACACAGACAACTGATACCCAGCACATCCCAACCCCATCAGTCCATACAAGTCCTTAGCTGGACAGTAAGTATGCAACACTGGCTGCTAAGATCTCACCCACACGGAATTTGAAGTTTTTCCACCTGCCCTCAGGCTAGCAGATGATCACATATCCATGCAAACTTGGCCAATGTGATAGAACCAGCCTGGTACAGGGAAAGATGGAGACAGCTCTGCTCTAAAGCTGTACTGAGTGCAAGCAACATTTGCAGTAACAATTAGATATGCAAATAAGCACATTGAAGATTAGTGACGGTTTACTGTTGTCATGGAGAAAATAGCACCTTCAGTTCTGGGTCAGACCCAAGGACTGCATTTTCTTCCCCTCACTGGTAAACAAAATCGGAGAGAGCATGGGAAAACCCAGAAGCCAACACTCCTCAGCGCAGCTCAGCCTGTGACTGGAGAGGCTGAAGCTCAGGGAGCAACATAACCCGAATAAAAACCCTCACTGCATCAACTCAGAGAGACAAGACCATGGCAACTCTGTAGATACTCAAAAATACCATGAGGTAGAAGCACAGGCTGGAAGGAAACACCCACACCATGCAAAGACCAAGCTGCTTCCCAGCATTGCTGCTGCTAGGGGGAGGCAGATGTGGGGGAAACTGAGGGCAACACAATTCATGAAGTACTCAGCTCCAATTCTCTTGAAGCCACATGGGAAGATCTTGTCTGAATGAAAATACACACTTGGCTCAAAGCCTCTGTGTGTCTTTGGCCATCCTCACAGTCCTCCCATCCCTTGTTATATGATGGCTGCTAAGAGAGAAGAGGAGGCAATCAGCCTATTTAGACTCAGCTTTCCTTCCCACCCTGGGGGTTTTTTCATAGGAGCAGCTGGCCAGAGCACTGCCTTTGTTACAGCAGCCACAAAAAACACAGACACCCACCCTCAGCCCCCCTAAAATCCCACAGAAGAGCCAAGATAAGTTTATAATGGAAACCCTGACACAACCTTAACTATAGCATCCTGAATCGAAGGCGATAATCTGATCTGTGTGTGAACTAGCTCCCCTTGTCTCAATGGTATTTGTCTTACTTTAACTCCTGTTACAAAATGGTTGAGTCACATAGCAGAGCCAGCCAAGTAACAAAACTGCAGGGCTTGCTAAAACATCAGATTCAAGAATAAACAGGTGCAATCCTAGAGCAGGTTAGAAGAGTCTCCGCAGGAGTGCCACAGTAGCCAGACCTCCGAGCCTCTGGACAATGGTATTCTCTTCTGTGCTACAGAGACTATCACAGCCCAGTGCAGGGGTGGGGGGAGATGGTGCAGAGCACAGGGCTCTGCCCTTCGGTTCATGGTAACACATAGTACCCAGCGCCCAAGAAACCTGATCCCGTAGCAACCTCATGTATGGAAAGGGCCCCAATCAGATTTCACTGTGTCAGGAGAAGAACAGTATTTACTCTGCATACAGATTAGTCACAAAACTGGGTCACTTCTTGCCTTTTCAGAGAGAGAGAAAAAAAAACCAACCAAAAACAAAGCTTCTTTTTCAGATCTTTTTGTGTCTTCCCCCCAACTTTTAAAACTCTATGATGCAGTGTGGTCACTCACAGCTGTCTAAGCTGATCAAACAGCACCTGCATGGGTAAGGTCAAAGCACATTACACTCACTAGGCCTACATTTTTTAGAATTCAGCTCATTAGCTACTTACCGGTTCTTTTCTAGTTCGTTGTGCGTAGACCTGGAAGATAAAAAAAAAATTTGGATTAGCCACCTTTGATCTCTGAGCACTAAAGTTCAACTGCTGCAAGCTGTACACATCCCCCCCACTGGCACATCACAGTGCAAAGCCGACCAACTACATACATTAAAATCTGTAACCTCATTCTCCTTGCTGGCAAGATGTTCCTTCCCTCCAGTGCAAAAGCTGGTACCCTTATTGCTAAAGGAAATATTCCCTAGAGACTTAAATGCAGACAAAATCCCAAAGAGAGCAATGATTAGAACAAGGGATCAGAGTCTGCCACCTCCAGACTTCTGGTACTGCCACCAACCTAGTACAGGACTGAAGTTGTTCCTGTGCACTTTAGTTTCTTCATTCACCCTATAAAAATATCAGTATCATCTGCTAACACAGGAGCTCATGGAGCACTAATTTGTGCATCAAAGTTCCTTCCAGCAGACCTGGCTCTGTGGGGACAGTCTCTGGAGCCCTTCAGCCATCACATGCCAGATTTAGCCAATTTAGCAGAAGCAGGCATGGCCAGCATCTGGGCACAAAATAGGATGGCCAGTACTGCCATGTTTGCAGACATTGACACTGTGTTGCACATTTAGGATGCCTGGAAACCCCCTGGGGATGGGAACAGCACTGCCCCAACACCAGCATGCAGTGAAGTGACCCATAAAGTGACACTGTGACACTCGACAAAGGAGGGAGCTTTGTCTTTATACCTGCCCACCACATCAAGCACACTGCCAGTATTCCTTAATTTAGAGCTTTGCAGCTTGAAAATAAAACCAACTAGAAACAAAGGGGAAACAGGCAAGCTCATTCTTCTTGCCTCTATGATCATAGAATAAGTGGCTAAAAAAGTTTAAATCCATTCAGGATTTCTATCTAACCCAGGTAAGGTTGTTGAGGATTATTTAAAAGGATAGCCATTTGTCCAACATTTCTCTTTAACAGAAGGTCACCTTAAAATAAGAGTAAAAAGAACCCAAGAGCTTAATAAAAAGGATCTATTTTCTCTAATTTGGCATCACATTTCTTCCGGAGCTCTGAGAAGATTATCCTCTATCCCCCATCTGGAGAATCCCACAGAGAATTCTACAATTAGAGAACTGAATGGAGGATGTGCTCCAAGGGAAACCCTGTCATAATTAAATGCTTCTCCAAAAAAAGGAAGGAGGAGCACCTAACAGGTGTTAGAACCTCATTGAAAATGATGAATAAACTGTGGATGGCTGCAAAATACAAGGTATATGAGTCTTAGCTGACCATGGCTGAGAGCAGGGGAAAAACAGAATGTTACCATATACCTGTGCAAGCTACTCTGCTCATTATGGGATACCCTAAAGGCAAGGCACACTATAGTCAAACACCTCATGTTGAGAAGACTCCTCAATTCCCTCCCAAAAGAAGTGGATGCCTTCAGCCTGGTTCCCAGGAATCAGAAATGTCAACATAATATTTAGTCCAGAAAACCTCACAAACCCACATGCCTCCCCTCACCCTCCCAAGTCTAAACCAGCAAAATCCATTTGTCCAGGCAACTTGAACCCAAATGAACTCATCAGGACTGAGCTGAGACCCATTAGAACCACTGCACATATGTAGTTTGAAACATGCTTATTGTTCTTTTTTACTGTATGGTCTTTCAGGAGACTGTGCTCTCTTCTTGGCTATGACATTAGCAGTCATAAGGCCAAAGATATGCAATGGCTTGAATTCCTATATTATATCGAGCCAATTACCAAGGCCAGAACTGAGAGAACAAAGTTTGGCCCACTGCTGTGAACAAAATTAAAACAGCAGGTTCTCCTTATTCCTCTCACACAGGAGACTCTTTATTACCTATCTGCCTTCTGATGAACAAGACAACTGAGAGAGGTCACAGGCTTTTCACCAAGTCAGGAAATATTCCCTGTGATTTTTAACCACGTCTGTGGCAGGGAAAAAAAAGCAACCCCCCCAACACCTTCCCACTGAAGCTGAATGTAAACAAAAGAATCTCAGCAGCATTTAATGAATCCTACAGGGAGGCTTCTTCTCTTACCTGCCTATGTCTTGCTTAGTCTCATTGGGGACCATTTGGAAAAGTTTTAATTTTTTATTTCACCCAAATTTAGGAAAAAAGTCCAGCACTGCTCCCCACTTATCACCATTCACTAACTCATATTTTCTGCAACAGTTTCCTTTTGCTTGGACAACACATAAAGGAAAAAAACCTCTCTCTTCTATTCATTATTAATTTCATTTTCTATAGCTCCTAATCTAAAGATTAGTTTTTACCCCTCATCTTTGGGCTGCATGTGTTACTAAGATTTATTTGGAGTCAAACAAGGAAGTGCTGTCAGTGAAGTGGAAAAAATTGCAGGAACCTCTACTGATATAACTAGAAAAAGAAGTACAGAAACAAATGTAACTGGATCTCTTTAAGTGAGCTGGTCTTATCATCCACTGAGAACTCAGAGACTATCAGCAGACTGAAATCAAGGCCTCATCCTTGTGCACCATCACTGGCTTTTTGATGGGTACAGCATGAGTATCACAGCTGAAAACTATTGCCAAAACTTGGGGAACACTCTGCTTGTACAACAGCAAGTAACCAGTGTGCTCAGAGTGACACCGCTGTGCTGCTGCTGACAGCCACAGCCTGTGTCACCCAGTGAAACAAGGACACTGCTACTGAGCATGGACCACCAACCAGGGGAATTCACATCCCTGCTGTCAGGTGGACAGGGCAAGCAGAACCTGCAAAGCTGAAACCAGAGCCAGGCGGGTATGAACACATTCAGAGGGGAAAACAAAAGACCAAGCACACGTACTGGCACTGCTCAAAATGTCAGCTGTAATTTAAAAGTAGCTCAAACACTAGCCGTCTGCAGGGTCCTCATTTAAAAGTCAGGTTTCTATAGCAGTCGGTTCTTTAACAGTCAATTTAAAACACCCAAACTGATAACTACTCCTAAAAACTGAAGAAATGTTATTAAGGAGGAGGACCCTGCTCACTGCATTTTGAAAACAGCTTGGAAAAAGATCAAGAATGAGTTTCAGAAGCTTAAGATAAAGGAGCCAAGCAAACAACAACAAAAATAGCAGAGCAGTCCCTGTCAAGATTTTAAGTGACAAAAAGTTGAAAGAGGACAAACTCAAGTTATCCCAATTTACCCCAGATACCTGAAACTGCATCCAAAATAGGAAGAAAGAGGGGAACAGAAATTGTCAGTCATTCTAATTTCAGGTTAAATGCAACAACCTTTTTGTGCCAGTTACAGTGATACTGCCTGCAACCCTGCTATCTAACACAGTAACAAGATGTTGCTGAAACATTAAGCTACACTGAAGTCCCCCAGTAAATGACAATCTTTAATTAATTTGCCACTTTACGCCATTTCTTTATTTAAATAAAATCTTTTCTACCAGGGCAGAGGCAGACAAACTTGTACCAGGCACAGGTAAGGCAACATAACTAACTGCACCAGAAAGGAACAAGCTCTAAAGAGCACTGAATTCATTTGTCATTGGGATTTTTACTGTAATTAAAATCAAAGCTGCCACATGACATTAAACACAGCTGACCTTTTTTTATTGATAAATGGGCCAATACATGCATTTGCAGAACATCTGCATTTTGGTTTGGGTTCTCAGTGAGGTAACTATTTTCTATTGAGGAAAATACAGCCCTCGAGAGCCCTTGTCCTATGTAATACACAGATGGCATTTAGACCCAATGATCCTGTCATCTCTCTTGAACCTGATAATCTTCCTGCCTGTCTTTGGCATCAGCTCCTGGCTCCAGAGGAGTCCAGGACTCCAAGAGCTCCGTCTGCACCACAACAGATAGACTGTTGTCTCAGGAGGTGCTGCTGGCCATAACTAAGGGCCCTCTTCCAGTACATCCTTAATGCCTACACAGACCCAGGGCTTCTCCTCCAAATTCACTCACCCCACTCAGCTTTATCAAGAGTTTAAAATAATGAAATAAATATCCCACCATTTGTGGGATATTTGTGAAAATTAGGGTACAGTTTACCTGCATTATGTTTAGCAAAACAAGAACATTCATCTGCAGACCAGGCCAGCTGCTTTCTGTCTTACTTCTCTCAGGTTTCAGCTACCTTTCCTGCTTATGCATCATCACATGATATACAAGCTCATTCTTCTTCATTTTACAGACCTTTCCCACCTTCTGGCTCTGCCAACACCCATTCAGTGGGCCACTAAATTCCCCTGCAGGAAATGTCTTCTTCTGTTCCCCAAGCCAATAACCAACCCTTCTGAAACCAGTGCACTACATTACTGCTCTCTTTTATGCAAGTTCTTCCTCAAAAATGACAAAATAAAATAATGGAAAAGAAGGGTGATCAACAGCTTTTTTACATTTTAAATCCATCTGTGTCCACAAAACAGAATTTAGCGGCTGAAGACCCTCAGTGTTTCGCCAGGGCTCCAAGTGGATCAACACCACAGTAGCTTACGAAGCCAGTGCAGAAGCCAGCCTGAGAAGCCCACAAAGAACCTTCACCAGCAGCAGCACATGAGGCTTCCATCCCAGTGGCAAGACAAATGAAAGCTGCACAAGAGTTAACTCTTCCTGCCCAGATAGAGATGCTCAAGGGTTCTTTCTAAGTGAGCTCCTCCTCTGGGAGGCCCAGAAGTCTAGTCCTCAGAGAGCTGCAGGGGAGCCTTGGGAACATAGTAACTTATGGTACTCAGCACTGCCATGAGCTCCTACAGTGAGGAGGAGCAAGATGCAGCTGAACAGAAGATGGCACAGCCGGAGCAGGAGTCCTTCTGCTGCCACCCTTATGCCCTTAGCAAGTAGCAGCCTCAAGTCTAACAAGAACATCACCTCAGCCTTGCATATCAGCAAATCTAACAAAACATTTCCTTCCAAGCAATACTAGAGACAAAAGTTATCTTAAGCTATTAATATTACTACCTCATGATCCCCTACACTGTCTGGCCTTGAGATCCAGGGTAAATTCTTCTCCACGAGGAGCTGAGGTGAGGGG